TGATTTAATCTGTGTTCGCTCTTCTTGATTTTCTCAAAATAGATTTTAGAGAGATATAGCAATCTGTCTTAAAGTGGAGATAGGCCGAGTAAAAGAAGAGCATTTTTGTATGACATTCCTGGAAGAATGCATTTAATAGCCCTCTTTTGAATTGTTTCAATGATTTGTTGTTGTTTGAGAGTGGTGCCAGTAAACCACAAAGGGCACGCACACTCAGGGACTGACCTAATAACACTGCAATAATAGTGATGCAAGGTGAGGGTATTAAGGCCACATCTGCGTAATTGTTTTAAAAAGTAGATTCTTGTATTACATTTGGATACAATAGATTGAATATGGCTTTCCCATCCTAGGTCATCCTGGATCGTAACACCTAGAAATTTAGATTGACTAACATTGCCAATATTAACACCATTTATCTGAATCATTGGAGGTTGTGATTTTACACGTTTACAGCTAATTAGCATTTCCTTATTTTTTTTTTCATTAATCTTCATTCTGTTGCTAGTGGACCAGCTACAGATTTCCTTACTGACATTTTTAAAGGTGCTCGGTTCTTTACTAGAAGTCTTTTCTGACACCGTGGTGTCATCCATGTATTTAACAATAGGAAGATTAACTTTAAGGTCATTAATGAAGATAATGAAAAGAACTGGCCCGAGCCAGGACCCCTGAGGCACACCTCCCTTCGGACTTAGCCTTCTCGAGAAGTGATCGCCAATACGTACACTATGCATTCTATGGCTTAGGAAAGCATGAATCCAATTTACCAAAGTTGTACTAACATTTAATTTGTTAAGTTTTTCAATTACAATCGTATGGTCAATAAGGTCAAATGCTTTTTTGTAGTCTAAAAGCAGGACTCAGGTCTCATTACCTTGGTCTGCAGCTTCACACCATTTGAACATTATTGAGATAAGGGCATCAACTGTTGATACACCTTTCATACAGCCGAACTGATTTAAATCAATCTTGTCCTGAATTTCATTTAAAAGCATTTCTCCAATAATACTTTCAATTATTTTCCCACATACAGAAGTTAAAGAAATTGGTCTGAGGTCAGATTCAATGGATGTGGGAGGATTAACTTTTGGGATAGGGACTGTAGTGTATTCGCTCGGATAACCAACAGAGCAGTCCAACAAGACATTATTGTAACTCAACCATTTTAATGCAACAACGTATATCCGCGCATCCGCATATCATTAGCTCCGCGCGTATCGTACAACTAATTAGCATATAACATAAACAATAATAGTAGCAAGCCTATACTCAAATATGCTACACTCCTCACCCTATAAACTTGCATGTGCAAAACTCTTAAACATCAATAACAGTAACATCAAATTTCATCTAAAATGATAACCTATCTGGCGATTTACGCATGCGCAGTGGATAGCGGCGTTCAGGTTTGTCAGGACTTGCTACATTAGAACAATCAGTAGATTCCGTAGGGGATACGTATGTACGTGTCTCATTAAGAAGAGGGGGGTTCTATAAGTGGTGGGGGTATTTCTGCAGTGACAGGATCTGGTGTAATATCAGGTTCACTATAACAATTTTCAAAACAAACTTGTTTGCTCTGTACGTTGGAGTCAATTATTTGATCAACATGTCGGCGCCAGAGCACGTTAGGTCCAACACAAACTACATAAGATAATGGACCAGTACGCGTATGTATCGTTCCAGGCGTCCATTTCCCTCGGTTCCTATAGTCGCGAACTGTAACAGCCTGGCCCACATTAAACGTACGTGTCCTCTTATCAGCTTTATGAGACACTGTATGGTCCACTTGCTTGCTCTGAACATGACGTCGGAGGTCTGGTTTCAAGATATCCAAACGCGAACGAATGTTCCTGCCCATGAACAGGACCGATGGTGGTTGTCCTGTCGTACAGTGTGGGGCATTCCTGTAAGCAAGCAGAAAGTTAGCCAATTTAGCTGGGATCGACCCTTCCTCTCCTTCCATCGCTTTCAATGCTTGTTTGAGGGTTTGAACAAAACGTTCAGCCAAGCCATTCGTAGCTGGATGGTAAGGCGCTGATCTGATATGTTTTATTCCATTATATTTCAGGAAGCCCTGAAACTCAGCGGATGTAAATTGAGTCCCATTATCGCTAACGAACTGTTCTGGTACCCCATTACGACAGAAAATATCACGTAACATATTTATCGTGTCTGTTGAGGTCGACGACTTAGAGCATACAACCTCCGGCCACTTAGAATGAGCATCAACTACTACCAGAAACATACGACCTAGAAACGGCCCAGCATAGTCG